TTCGTTCCCTTCAAGAAAGCAGAGCCGCTGAGAGGGTCCCGGCCTCACCTGTGTGATCACATCGCCTGGCGCCGCTGGGTGTGTCTAGAGACAGACCCAGCCTTAGTCAGTGAGACACTGACGTGCTTTCTCATAAAGCAACAAACACCGTGTTTTGAAAACAACCAAATAAGCACAGCTGAAGAGCATCCATGTGGCTATCACCTGTCTTTAAATAAAACATAAAAAAAGCTGAATGTAGGATGGATTTAGGTTGTATCATACCTTGTGAGCCCTTTTGCTTGGCTAAAGCAGTGGTTCCCAACCTTCCTAATGCCGCGACCCTTTAATACAGTTCCTCATGTTGTGGTGACCCCCAATTTCATTGTTACAAATTGAACATAATTAAAGCATAGTGATTAATCACAAAAACAATATGTAATTATATATGTGTTTTCCGATGGTCTTAGGCGACCCCTGTGAAAGGGTCGTTCGACCGCCAAAGGGGTCTCGACCCACAGGTTGAGAACCGCTGCTTTAAAGGAAACTTATTTGGAAAATAGTTAAATAATCACACACGCAAGTTGCCAGTTTCTGTTTTCACACGCGCTGCTGCTGGCACATGGGAGAGTCTGGGCATCAGCCATCATGAGGGGTCGGGGGGCGCCCTGGGGGGGTGGGCACCCGCATCTAACTGTCGGGAACTGTTCGGCTTTTCTGTGCGCAGACCTTCCGGTGGAATAAGGGAGACTTTGGCCTCTGAAACGGAAAACCAGACCCCTGAGCATCTCCCCGCCGAGGGGTGCATGGAAAGCACCACCCTGCAGATCCGCCCGGCCACGCACAGCCAGGACCCCGAGCCCCACCTCGACTCCCACCATAATTATGTATGTGTTTTCCGATGGTCTTAGGCGACCCTTGTGAAAGGGTCGTTCGACCCCCAAAGGGGTCGCGACCCACAGGTTGAGAACCGCTGCTTTAAAGGAAACGTTATTTGGAAAATCGTTGAATAATCACACAGGCAAGTTGCCAGTTTCTGTTTTCACACGTGCTGCCGCTGGCACACGGGAGAGTCTGGGCATCAGCCATCATGAGGGGTCGGGGGGCGCCCTGGGGAGGTGGGCACCCGCATCTAACTGTCGGGAACTGTTCGGCTTTTCTGTGCGCAGACCTTCCGGTGGAATAAGGGAGACTTTGGCCTCTGAAACGGAAAACCAGACCCCTGAGCATCTCCCCGCCGAGGGGTGCATGGAAAGCACCACCCTGCAGATCCGCCCGGCCACGCACAGCCAGGACCCCGAGCCCCACCTCGACTCCCACCAGAGTGGCACCCCCCTGGCTGAGAACTCGGAAAGTGGTCCCGCTTTTTCTGGGAGCAAAAAAGAAGAAGAAACGGGCCAGAGTTACGCCGAGGCGCCCCACACGCCTGGGCCCCCGAGAGGACGCGCGGCAGAGGAGGGAGTCTTGCTGGAGAGGAAGGCAGCCGTGGGCTGGCCCGGCCCCGTGGTTGAGCTACAGCTGTCCCTGCCTCAGGACATGGGCACGGGCCCCGGGGCCCCCGCCCTGGCCCTCCTGGGAGCTGACACACCTCAGAGCCGTGACCCAGACCCCAACGCTGTGCACATAAACTCAGCCCCCACGAGTGAGAGGGGGGAGGCCTCGCTGAGGTCCAGCAAGGTCATCCAGATCCGCAGGGGCCAGGAGCTGAGAGTGGTCCAGGGGGCGGCCGCCGGGGCCGCGGGGCTGCCGCGAGTGGAAGTGA